TGTATCCAAAAGTGGGCGGATCTAGAGAGACTCTTCCTGTCAAGATTTTTTAAAGAGGATACAGAAGTCTCCATCCATACCCTTCTCGCCACTAAGCAGAAGAAGAGGGAATCCGTCAAAGCCTTCGTCAAAAGGTTCCGAACCATGGCTCTCCAGTGGGGATGTATCCAAAAGTGGGCAGATCTAGAGAGACTCTTCCTGTCGAGATTCTTTGAAGAGGATACGGAAGTCTCCATCCATACCCTTCTCGCCACTAAGAAGAAGAAGAGGGAGTCCGTCAAAGCCTTCGTCAAAAGGTTCCGAACCATGGCTCTCCAGTGTTCGTCAGGTATGACACAATCTACTTTAGTAGAGACCTGTCGACACAACTTGCAGACCGACCTCCTAGCCCGAATCGGAGTTGCAGAATATCGTTCTTGGAGACAACTAATCTCTCAAGGTGAACAGGCTCAAAAGATTATTGCCAGGATCAAAGCTGAAGAACAAAGTAGGCAGGATCAGCCCGAGCGATCGGACCAAGCCCAATCGACCAATAACTATCACGTTAACATTTACCTCTGATAGTCAAACTCATTAGATAGTGGCCTACTCCTTTTTCCCCCTGCACTTGTTCAAGACTGGGGGTTGGTTTATTTGTAGTTCATTGGATTATGAGTAATAAATTTTCTGAGTTGAACTATCACGTTAATAATTACCTCTGATAGTCAAACTCATTAGATAGTGGTCTACTCCTTTTTCCCCTGCACTTGTTCAAGACTGGGGGTTGGTTTATTTGTAGTTCATTGGATTATGAGTAATAAATTTTCTGAGTTGTTATGTTTAATAAAATACCTCTGTCAACCATAAAATCTACCAGAACTATCATCAACTTGTCAATCCGCTTCCATAGGATGGCAGGCCCACAAAACTATCACGTTAACATTTACCTCTGATCGTCCATCAACTTAGATAGTGGCCTACTCCTTTTACATTTACCTCTGATAGTCCATCAACTTGTCAATCCACTTCAATAGGATGGCAGGTCCACTAAAACTATCACGTTAATGATCACCTCTGATAGTCTGTTTTCTCCAAATTTCCCCACTCATCCTCTTCAGGTAGGATGACGGGTCTATCAAAACTATCACGTTAATGATTACCTCTGATAGTCCATTTCCTCTAAATTCCCCACCAATCCTCTTCAAGTAGGATAGCAGGTCCATCAAAACTATCACGTTAACCGTTACCTCTGATAGTCCATTCCCTCCAAATTCTCCTACCAATCCTCTTCAATAGGATGGTGGGTCCACAAAACTATCACGTTAACAGTTACCTCTGATAGTCAAACTCATCAGATAATGGCCTACCAGGTGATGTGCCTCTATTTCGACTTCATGGATAGTGCCTCACTAGGTGATGTGCCTTGTCTACCTCTTTTTCTTCCCCTGCTAAGTCTTAATCAAGACTGGGGGTTGGTTACTTGGAATCCATTGGATTAAGAGTAACGAATCTTTCACATCGTCGAGTTAACATTATACTTCTGATGATCATCATCCTCACAGAGTATGCATTCAACTTGCATCACTCCCAATTTGTCACGTTAATAATATACCTCTGACAACAATCAACTTATCAATCCTTACCAATAGGATGATAGGTCCTCAAAATTGCTCAAATCGCAATCTTCCCCAGCAAGACACTAAGTCTTCAAAATCAAATTCAAATCACAGGTATCAAAACTCATTGTTCCTGATGATAAATTCACCTAGCAAGTCTCCCCAGCGAGACGCTAATTCCTAAAAT